CCAATTTTGATATTTGCCATTGGTTAGAAGCATGTTCAACTCAATGTTTTGTAAACTGCTTTTGCTATTTAGGAGTTGGATATGGCGGAGAAGCAATTTTTGATGATTTTATTATGCAAACAAGAAAGGAAAGGGATTTGGTGTTGATTGTTGATGAAGCTCATATTGAAACGGATACTAAACTTGCTAACGAGGTCGTCGACCTATTTGATCCGCGAATTATTATCAAAATAACCGCAACTCCTAAAACTTTACCAGATATTAGTGATGTTAGACAAAAAAAGGCTGGATTTGTGGAAGTTTCAGAAAAAGATGTAATAGAAAGCGGATTAATCAAAGAAAAAATTGTTATTCAGACTAAGGAAGAGATTGAAAAATTGTCTGAAAAAAAGCAACTTTCAGAAGATGAGATAATGCTCGAGTTGGCTTATAATAAGAGACTAGAACTTAAAAAAATTTATGAGAGTTTAGGGCTTGACATAAACCCATTGGTTTTAATTCAACTTCCGAGTGATTTTAAGGAAAAGGAGGAGATAGAGACTAATCGAAAGGATTTCGTCTTGTCATATTTAAAAGCCAAAGGTGTAAAAGAAAAGGAGATCGCTATTTGGTTATCGAATGAAAAGAAAAATTTGGACATGATTGAAAAAAACAACAATGAAGTAAATTTCATGATTTTCAAAGTTGCACCGGCAACAGGATGAGATTGCCCGCGAGCGGAAATACTAGTAATGTTTCGCGAGATTGATAGTCCAATTTTTCATACTCAAATAATTGGTAGAACAAAAAGAATGCCCGAAGGTCATCATTACGAAAAAGAAGAATTGAACAAGGCTTATATTTTCACTAATTACGACAAGAATCATATTAGAGATATTAGCGAACTAGAAACCAAGAATAAAATCCCTGTTTACTTTACCGAACTAAAAAAAGATATTAAAAGGATTTGTTTGGAAACAACTTATCACCACCGAACCGATTTTGATATTCTCATTCTTCCATTGTGGCAAAAAATTTTTTTAGAAGTAATGGATCGAGAATTTGGAACCAACTCTCAATTGTCTAACGAAAATAAAAAAAGTGTGGGAACAAGGATTGACTTTTCTTGGACAAGGGTAAGCAATCAAATTATTGTAGATGCCGAAATTACTAGTTTTGACAATTTTGCCAATGAAATAAAAAGAAAAGGACAGAACTTCGATTACCATTTTTCCCGGTTAGAAGTGGAAAAACTCTATAATTCACTTTGTTTTCAAGAACTTAAAAATCAAGGAGATGAGGAAGCAAAATATAATCCAGCAAGCTCATGAAGCCAATTGAAATCGGCTCTAAATGTTTGATTTGAAGACAGATTTGAATTTAATAAAGCAACCTATTATCCAATTATTGTTAATGAGTTATTAAGAAAGAATGAATATCTAAAATCTACTATCAATAAGGCTTTGAAAGAATTTAGAAAAAAATATGAAATAGAATTAAAAGCAAGGGAGGAAAAAGAAGTTTTTAATTTATGATTACCTGAAAAACAAGTTAGTTTTACCGCAGATTTTGAGGAAATTGAGGTCGTAAACAAAAATGTCTACGAGAAATTTTATAATAAAAAACAATATTTGGGAATAGAAAACGAGAAGAAATTTATAAGATTTTTGGAATTACAACCCAATGTCATTTGATGGCACAAACAAAATTATGGAAGAAGTGCATTTGCAATTGAATATTTTGACGCCCAAGAAAAGAAAAATAGACTCTTCTATCCCGATTTTATTGTCAGAACAAGAAGCAAAGTCTATTTGTTAGATACAAAAATCGGTATTACTGCAAAAAGTTATGAAACTGCAGATAAAAGTAATGCACTTCAAAAATGAATTAAAGAAAAACAGCCAAAATATAACTTTGAAATAGTTGGTGGAATAGTAGTTGAAAAATATCCAAACTGAAAAATAAACAGAAGCAACAAGTATATTTATGAAAAAGAAAATGATTGGGAATATTTAAATTTTAACGACTAGAAGACTCTTAAATGTTTAGTATTCTCACTTTTCAATTCCTACAACTTTATTTTTATTTTGTAAAATACTAATATGACATCTAAAAATCCGAGTTGTTATCAAATATTAGAAATAGAAAAAACTGCTACTCCCGAAGAAATTAAAATAGTTTATCGAAAATTAAGTTTGAGATGACATCCTGATAAATTTGGTCAACCCGGTCATTTAGCCAAAACCAAAGAAGAAGCAGAAGAAAAGATGAAGCAAATAAATAATGCTTACGAAGTTCTGTCTAATCCTGAAAAGAAAAAAAGACACGACGACTTTATTAATAAATTTACATTCACAGATAAAGTAATATTTTTTTCTTTAATAGCAATACTGGCTGGTCTCATTCTTGTCCCAGAAAATGGTGAGGAAAGTAAAAATTAGAAATCCAAAATTAAAATCTCTCCTAAATCCCCGCAATTTCTCGTTTTCGGCATTAATTTTTCATATAGTCCTAGATGTCAAAATCGCTTTTTACAGAAAATTAACCTATTTTATTAGAACACACCGATGAGAAACTCCGCTATCAAATCAAACATCCATCGTATCTTGCCCTAAAATCGTTTTTTTATTTATCAATCGTGGAAATTTTTCTCGCAAAAGTGTCAAAATTTCTCCATTAAAATAAAATTCTGATCCTTTCTCTAATACTAAATCAGCAATATAGTCAATAATTTTAGGGCTAAGTATCGGTTCATTATTTTGATATAAGACCGGAATAGGCACTCCTCATTTTCGCTGTCGCGAAATACACCAATCTTCACGAGCCGTTATTATTTGCTGCATTTTTTCTTTGGTTCAACTCGGATATCATTTTACTTTTTCAATATTTTCCAATAGTTCTCTTTTGATGGCCTCTACTTTAATAAATCATTGCTTAGTTAAGCGATAAATTAAGGTACTTTTATCTCGTCAATCATGGGGATAATTATGGCTAATTACTTCTTTTTTTGCGATTAAATTCCTTTTTTCTAAATCAGTAATAACATATTTGTTAACTTCTATATAATGTTTGCCAACTAATTCTAGAACTCCGATTTTTTCATTGAAATTTCCATTAGGTTCAAGAGGGCAATCAATAATTAAATTTTCTTTTTTAGCTACGGCAAAATCTTCGGCTCCGAAAGCAGGCGCTAAGTGAACTATACCAGTTCCTTCTCCTTCCTTAATAAAATCGCTGCCATCAACGATATATCCTTTGGTGTCATCTTTGCGGTAAGAATGAAAATAATTTAATCCTAACAATTTTTCTCCTGGAAATAATTTTTCTACTTTTAATTTCTCTTCCTGTCATTTTTCTAAAAGTGGGACTTTATTTTCTAGAATTATCAAATATTCATTATTATAATTAACCAAAGCATAAATGGCAGTTTTTTTTACTGCGGCTAACTGGTTGGCCGGAATGGTCCAGGGTTGGGTAGTTCAAACCAACAAATTGACATTTTCTTTGCCAAAAAAACTGTCTGCTAATTTAATTTTGAAATATAGCGAAGTATCTTTTTTTTCGTAATATTCTATTTCAGCTTCAGCTAGGGCGGTTTCATGTCCGCAAGACCAGTAAATTGGTCGAAATCCTTGGTAAATTAAGCCTTTTTTCACCATTTCCCCAAAAACGCGGATTTGTTCGGCTTCATATTTTTTATCTAAGGTGATGTAATATTTTTCGTAATTAGTAAAAAGTCCTAATTTTTTTAATTGTTCTTTTTGGATTTGAACTTGTTCTAAGGCAAAATCATGACAAACTTGTCTTAAGTTTATTTCTTTACCTTGATGGGCTTGAATCATTTTGTGTTCAATTGGTAATCCATGAGTATCTCAACCTAGCAAAAAAGGAGTATATTTTCCTTGACCGACTTGAAAACGGACAATAATGTCTTTAATCGCGAAGTTTAAAAAATGTCCGATATGAAGTTTACCATTGGCATAGGGTGGACCAGAATGAAGAACAAAAGATTGATTATTTTTATTTTTTTCTAAGACTTTTTGATAAATTTGTCTATTTTCTCATAACTCGAAAATCTTTTTTTCCGTATCAGTTGGGTGAAAATTTTTTAATGGCAAAGAAGTTTTGGGTAATAGAAGGGTATCTTTATATCTTTTGTTATCCATTAATTATTTTTTTGTTTCTTTACGCCTTTTAATTTATCAACCCTTGATAAGGAAAGTTTAAAACAGCATTTAATTTTCTAAAACTTAAGAAAAATTGCCAAAGGAATAAATAGTATAAAAATAAAACTACTCATTTCTCATTTAGTTGTAATTGTTATTTTTTTTTCTAAGGATTTTAGTTATTGCCAAACCAATTACTGCTAAAAGTGGTAATGCGAAAATAATGAGGAAAATTTTAGGAATATGTTGGGTTTCATTTAAAGAATTTTTATCGTTCGTTTGTGAAATTTTTCTTTCTAAGGTCTGAACAAATTGATCTATTTGTTTTTTATCTTTCAGTTTTTCCAAGTGTCCTTGCCAAGTTTTGCTGCCGACTCAAAGATTTTTTAAACTTTCTGGTTTGACATTTTTCTTTTTTAGTGCTTCT